TTCACCCCTGCTTACGTTTGAAAATTCCTCTGCGACCTCTGATCAGGCCATTGCCGATCTATTCGCAGAATTTTTTCAAACAACTTATTCTCCACCTAAATTGACAGATCAGCCTTACGCATATAACATTCAAGCAGCAAATCTTAGTTTCTGTTCGTTTTTCTCTGAGAACAACTTATTATGTGATCTTCTAAGGGTAAAACCCATTTATTCGCCAGGCCCCGATGCAGTACCAGGCTGTGTGCTAAAGTACTGTGCCAGGGCTCTGTGAAACCTCTTCTAAGATTCTTCAACTTATCTTTGGAAACCTCGATTTTTCCCCTTAAGTGGAAGGAATCATTTATAATTCCCCTACATAAAAAGGGAAAAAGTCTGATGCTGCCAACTACAGAGGCATCTCGAAGTTGTCGGTAATTCCAAAGTTATTTGAAAAATTAATTACCCCTCATTTGCAACACCTTTGCTCTTCGATTATCTCTCCCTGTCGGCATGGCTTTATTAAGCGTCGCTCCACCACCACAAATTTACTGGAGTTGACATCTTTTGTCATAGATTTAAGGGGATATCTGTAAGGGATATCAAACTTTTGTAAAGGGCTTTTGTAAGGGATATCAAACCGATGTAATTTACACAGACTTCAGCAAAGCATTTGATTCAGTTAATCACTCTCTTCTTAAGTAAACTGAATATGCTGGGTTTTCCTATAGACCTCTTAACGTGGATCTCCAGCTACTAAATGATTTTGGGTTTTTTGGGTTAGTGGGCAAAGAAGAGGTGGATAGTTTGGTCGTTGGTTCCGATAAGGGGAAGTTTCACTCTCACTGGTTTTAAATTTTTTAACTTTGCAGTACTAGTGTTCTTGGACGAAGATGTTCTCTGGCCAAAAACTGGGTGAACAAATCGTCTGCATCATTAGCGCGAGCACACGAATCTTGAAAGAAGACGTGCGCCGTGTATAATTATATTTAAATTTAGTTATTTCCTCCACCTTTATATCGGCTTTTAAAAACTTATCTTATTTCTTAGTCTTATTTGAAAACATACAGTCCCGTCTGGTCCGTGCTACATCTGGCGTCCCTCAAGGTAGTCATCTTGGCCCGTTATTATTTACGCTTTTTATAAACGACTTGCCCCCTGATTTAACGAACTCTCTAGTTCTTATGTATGCAGATGATGTAAAGCTTTGTCTTCAGTACGAATCTATCCCTGCCCAATGCAGTCTTCAGTCTGACCTTGATAACTTTCAAAAATGGTGTTTAGCTAATGATCTAACACTTAACGGATCAAAATGCAAGCATATGTCTTTTTATCGTACTTGCCCTCTGCCAGCTACGTATTCTATTACTGGGATTGTTTTAGAGAAATTAACTCAGATTAATGATCTCGGCGTCCTATTAGACATTAAACTTAAATTTGCCGACCATATTTCCTTAATGGTTAATAAGGCTAAAGGAGTCCTTGGTTTTATTAAAAGGTGGTCTAAAGAATTTAATGACCCATACATAACCAAAACATTATTTATTTCTGTGGTCCGTCCGATACTGGAGTCTATACTTAGATATCGCACTTAGAGGTCTATACTGGGATGCAAATCTTCAGCTTCCATCCTACAGTAGCAGACTTTTACTTATAAACTTGCCTAGCTTAACAAATCGTAGGACAATGCTCGGTGTAGTCTTTCAGCATAACCTTATTAACGGGAATGTAGATAGCCAGCATTTACTAACACGCTTAAAATTAAACATTCCTAATAGAAGGACTCGAAACTATAGTCCTCTGTTCCTTAGCCATTGTAGTTCGACATATGCACTGCATGACCCTTTTAGGGTATTATGTTCGAACTACAATGGTCTTTACTTGATAACATCTCTTTCCTGTCCCTCTAATTTAAAATATAGAATTTTACATTTTCTTACTAACTCCTCCTAGCTTAACAAATTATAAATAGCTTAATACGTACTAACAAATCGTTTCTCGAGCGCCCCTCGGTTGTCTGGGCCTCTAAGCTTTATGATGAATACAGGAATGCTAGCTGATGCTCTTATTGATGCACAAGCCATTTCCAAATTCTAAAAGACCGCAATAAAAAAAAAAAATCTTGAAAATCATTTTTAATGAATTTTCTGCGTTTTACCAAAGATTATAAAGTACATAGATGGGACATCAGGGGCCAAAACAGTCAACTTTTTTTCGTCGAGCTTGTTGGTGAGAGGGAACGCACATGCATACGATTCTATTTTTAGAACTCTTTACATGTATCCGCAAAAAAAATGTGAGCCTTTGTATGTATGTGACTGCTCGCACGACGGCGTAAAAATGTTTTGGCTTCCAAATTTCAATTTCTCGTTTCTGTTTTCGATGCACCGATGTGGTAGAACAAATAGTATTTTTAATCGCCGCAGATCAAGACAGGATGGTAGCGTAATGCATAGAGTAGTTACTCTATGTGTAATTTTTCTGTGTTCAAATCCTCGTAAGGACTTTTTCTTTTCGCTCTCAAATGTTTTCATTATTACAGCGGGGGTCACGACGGAAAAAATGAAAACATTTGAGAGCGGGTTCCACGACGCGGCCTGCCAAAATGCCGTAGAACCCGCACTTATAGACATTTTTACAGCGGGTTCCACTACGAACTGAGACGATGTTAAGGTGATTTTACAATTTTGTATTTTTTTTTTATTGTATTATAAATTTAGAAAAACACATTAAAAGAATAAAAAAATTCGTTGTCGCGCGAAAAATTTCTCAAAATTTACTTGTCGCGCAATGGAACCCGCTCGTTCTAGCGTTATTTTCCGCTCGTAACCCGTTATTTGGTGTTTTGCATCACCTATTAAGAATATATTCTTTTACCGAACGAAAACTATGAGTTTGATGTGCAAGTAAGTATAAGGAATGTGGCCAAAAGAAACTGGACACTTTTAATTGTCCAAAGCTCTCAGTGGGAGCTTTCGATCATGCCACGCAGCGACGTCGGCAGCGAAGTTGGCATCGCAATTGGTGACATTGAAATTTTGCAAGGCACGGATGAAGCAGCATGCTCTCCCCATTATGTACTTGTGTGTGTCTGCGAATGGGGAACAGCTGACAGCATACATTACTCACATGAAAGGAGGCATGGCGTGGCGCACAAGGCTGGGGGAGTCACCGGTTAAGAAGGGTGACTTTTGGTCAATGAACCGAGCCCCCAAATGGCCTCCTCCTAACAATTCAAATCAGCTGTTTGCGGAATGCGTGAAACGTGAGCACTCAACGACTCGGATAAACAGTCCCAGGGTCTTTCTGTGCCATCCCACCCAGCAAGCATCCCATATCATCCCATTTCTTTGTAAGCCGGCCATGGGTCTACCAAGGGCTTGGGCGTCTACCTAAGGCCCGTAATCCTCAAAAAGGATGCAACGCATTAGGCACGCCAGTGGTTCGGGGTCCCGAGCTCGGTGTTTCTTTTTTAGGCTTCTAGGATTGCCGCTATTTCTACCTGACCAACCCAAGCCAGGCGATCCATCAAAGTGTCATTTCGGCCGTCGAGACGGAGAGGACTACGAATTCTACCGTGATTGAACTTGAAATGGGAATGCAATTGATAGGAAATCAACCTGTTGTCGGATGGACGCTCATCTAATAAGAATTCATAGGAAAAGAGGTCCCAGGTAGGCGCCCTGGACTCGTATTGGTTGGGGTTCTTTATAGAGACATTACAAAACTGCCTAAAATATTGAAGTAATAATTGTAACTAATATTAGATATAGTACAAGTGGACCACTCCTCACTGCCCCCTGGGAATGACCCCTTCGAAGGTTTCCCGGAACTAGCTGGTCCACTTATCAAGCCCAGCTGACAGACAACTGACAGATAACCGGTGATCATGGGCTTGCATGCGAAATTTCTGCCGTGCCGCCTCTTATCACGGCCGAAATGATAAGGGCAGAGAACCAGAGTGGGGAGAGCGCAGCGTTGCGTACGTACGTTCACCAAGCCGCTTGGTAAACACGAAAAATTATAAAAAAATACTATGGAAAAGACTGTCGGTATATGCACCGTTAGAAAGCTCTATAAAGCCAGTACATAATAATTAAAAATACCAGACACATTGACCGTTCGAACGTGTCGACCGTATTAATCAAGTATTGACAAGTTAAAATGAAAGTCGGCACGGGTTATCTTTATCCTACCCACTCCAAATTGCATTTTAAAAATTTTTAACATCATTCAAACAAAATTAGAGGGTATGCGTTAAAAAAAATGAGCACCCCTGCTCTAAAAATTTAGCGAAACGAGAAAGTGCGAACAAGAGAGACGGTCCCTAGCAAGACGGCAAGTGCAGACATATCGACTGAAAGGGCGACGGAGTGAGTGAGAGCGCGGGTCGAGAGCAGCAATGGGTCGTCATAAACGATGCTATTTTTAAGTTTTTCAAGCTTGGCTTAAGCTTTCCGAATTATAGACTGTTTCTAGACCCGAAAATGTCCAAGCAACAATTTTTTAAAAAACGTTGGCACGACCATCATTTGGGAAAACGCTTATTAGCTAGAACAAGTTTTGCGCAGCGCAAAATGAGTAAAAAATTTATTTTTTTTTATTTTTCTAAGCAAATATTTATTGCCAACAGTGCAATTACATATCCGCTGTCGTTGTCCATTGACATGTTGATTGCTTGAAAGTTTATCGAAAAATGATGTTCGCGCGCTTGTTGGCTATAGTTGATGGGCAAATGAAATTCAAGTTGGCGAGCATGTTCGCCTGTGGATGGGCCCTTTTTTTCGGTTGTTCTCATAAACTAAACATTAGGAAAAAAAAGGTTAACAGTCATTTGCGAGGTATGTCTGCAAGGGTATAAAAAGAAAATAAATAAAATTTTTTTTTTTTTGTATTTTTAGAATGTATTGAAAATGCTTAATCCAATTTGATGAGATGAGATTCCCTTGTGAACCAGTAATACCCAGTAATTTAAGACAAAACCTTGATTTTTTTTTTTTAATTTTTTAATTTTTTTTGTATAATTTTTATCGTAAGTATTAAATGGCTGCTAACCCCATCTTAATAACCCAATATGCATCCTATTGCTGATTGTTAGGATTCATTTGTCCATTGACAATAGGTAAAAAATATGGATGAGCCATAGCTTCGCGAGCAGTAAGTCGGTCAACATGATCATAACGTAATAGTTTATCAAGAAAGTCTAGGGCTTCTGGAGAAACTAAATGTTGGTTGCCGGAAAGAACAAATCATTCCCATCGCTTTCTTGAATGCCGTTGAAGAATGTCATGAAATCGAGGATCTAAATCAATGTTATATTTATCTAAATAAGCATAAAGTTCCTCAGTGCCCAGCACCTTAGCAATGCGAACCAGTTGATCGTAGTTGTCATGACCATGAAAGAATGGCTCCTTTCTAAATATCATTGAAGCCAACATACATCCCAGCGACCACATATCGAGTGAATAATCGTACATTTGGTAATCCACCAGTAACTCGGGTCCTTTAAAATACCGTGATGCCACACGAACATTGTATTCTTGGCCAGGGTGATAAAATTCGGCTAGACCCCAATCAATAAGGCGCAATTTGCGATTTTCATGATCTATCATTACATTATGAGGTTTTACATCACGGTGCATAATTCCCATGCTGTGGCAGTAATCAAGTGCCTTTAGAAGCTCAAACAAATAATAACGAATCTCATAGTCTGTTAATGTTTGATAAAGCTGTTTAAAATCCGTATTATTTACGTGCTCAAAAATTAATGCCGGAGTTCGAGACACAGGATCCTTTACAACGGCTAAAAGTGTAATTATGTTAGTTCCACCACGTAAATTTTCCAAAATTTTGATTTCCCGCTTTATCTTCTTCTTTTTGACAGGTTTCAGAATTTTAACGACGCATTTTTCTGTGGTAGTTATATTAATTGCTTCAAATACCTCAGAATACTTTCCACGCCCCAATTTACGGACCAATTGATAATCGTCCTGGTTTCCCCAATCAACAACATAATTTTCGTAGTCCCAGTATTCATCAGGTTTATGTGCATTTACATCCGTGTACACACGAGCTGCACTTGGAAGTGTCATATTTTTTATTGCTCCGACTTTTCGATGCTCCTTTGCTGCAAAACTATTTTCGTGATAGGAAGGGTTTCTGTTGACTGACTTCGTTTTTATCTTCGTCCCAGAATAGTCAATATTATTAACTTGTCTGAAAAAAATAAAGGATTGCTTTAATTTATTATTAACAATGAATGTCAATAAAATGATGAAGTTATAAAATTCAGAACAGAAGTAGATTGCATAAGACCTTAAAAATTAAATGAACACCAATAATCTACTAAAACTTAAAAGTGGTTTGAACATGCCAAACTATTCCAAGCAAACATTTTTTTTTTTGCTTTTTAGTTTTTAAGTCTAGTTAAGATGATTCTACTCGGTTTAAAAAAAATGTGGTTTATGGTTATATAAATAATAAAAAATATTATCAACGCGTAAATATCAACGTATATTATCAACGCACATAGTTCTGTAGCCCACATTTGTGCACATTTGAATTTTTCGGAGTTTTTTTTTTGTTAACTTTATTCCTCTTATATAAAACTGAATCAAACAAAAAGGGACGTATATCAATACTTACATATTGATTGATAATCCGGATAGATCAAGACACGAAAAGAGCAAAACAAACATGAGAGTGTATTGATGAGAGAATCGAACTTCTGCACTGAGCGAATCGTAGAGTACGCTGCTTATGAAATTAATAAGGTCGGTTCTCAATAAATTTTAGAGGTTGCGGGAGCGAATCATTTTCATTCAATAATTGTCAGTTAATGTTTCGATGTTTGCTGTGCATACGCTAAATGTAGAGAGCAATTTACGCTCATTTGCCAAACTAAGCCGAAGTAGGGTTAGGCTCCGGGCTGCTCAGGACTGGGATAGATACATGTTTAAATTTTACTCTCTTAAAATTGTAAGTCGAAATGGGATAGGACATCGGCCCCCCACCACTTAGGATAGATATCGGCCCCCATCACCCCGCAACAAAATTGTGTAGCTTCAATAAACTGTAATCTACAACTGGTTGAAAAAGAAACAAGAAAGGAAAGCTAACTTTGGGCGGAGCCGAAGTTTATATACCCTTGCAGATAAAACCAGATATATATCGCATACATCGGATATAGTTGGCCGATCCTTATGAGAATGTCATAATAAAACCAATTAATTACAATAAAAAATCTACAAAAAAAAAAAACCCAATCTTTTAACTTGAAAAATACCAAAGTTGGTATTTCTACCAATAAGTATTTCCGACCGTTCAGTGCATATGGCAGGTATAAGATATAGTCGGCCAATCGTTATGAAATTTGGTAGATCGGATTAACTGACCAAAAGAATCACAGAATCTGTACTAAGTTCAAGCTTTTTATCTTCAAAAACACGAAAGTTGGGTAATTTCCGATCGTTAGTTATATGGCAGCTATAGGATATATTCGGCCGATCCTTATGAAATTTGGCATATCGTTTTATTTAGTAATAGCTCTAATGTAAAATTTGAACTTTCTAACTCAACAACATCTAAACTCAAAAATAATAAAAAACGAATATTACTACCTGGTCGAAACAAGTATTCGGACACTTTATTATTTTTAATAAATTCGTAAATGATTTTTAATTTTTTAATTTTATTTGTAAATAGAGAAGAAATGCATTGAAAACGGATAAAACTTTTTTATTTTACTAATCCTTTCCACGAAAATTGATATTGTTATGTTAGCTCCCTTAGAAATAATTATTGGGACACTGTATAGAAAATAATTTTTAAAAAATTTATAATTGTAGAAAAAAAATGTATTTTCTTACCTAATAGTGGGTATTGCCTCCGTACTTTGAAATGACTTCAGCCAAGCGTTTAGACATTAAATTAGCCAAATCCTGCAATGTTTTTCTTCGATTTTGGCCTATTCTTCAACAAAACCCTTCTTGAGCTGTGCCAAACTTTTAAACTGTCATCCATTGCTGTATACTCTATTTGAGAGTATACGCCACACATTCTAAATCGGGTTTAGGTCGGGACTACAAGCTGGCAACCCCAAAAGTTCAATTTTTTAATCCTCAAAAAACTGCTTTGACACTTTGGATACGTGGATGCCGGCGTTATCCTGTTGAAAAATTAACTTTTTCTCAAAATAAGTTTCGCCGAACGGTATCAAAATGTCGTCCATTAGTCTTATGTACATCTGAGAATTCATTCGTGTTAATAAAAAACATAAAGAGGATCTTCCGGCGTGTCCAAATGCGGCCCATACCATCAGTAACCCACCACCGATATTGCGAGTATAGCAGAACTGGCGTTCACGGCGGATATCTCTCTAGGACATCATTTTTCCTTTCAACTTGAATAGTCCTGACGGAAAAATGATGTCCTAGAGATATATCCGCCGTGAACGCCAGTCCTGCTATACTTTTAAAAATTGAACTTTTGGGGTGGCCAGCTTGTAGTCCCGACCTAAACCCTATTTAGAATGTGTGGCGTATACTCTCAAATAGAGTATACAGCAATGGACGACAGTTTGAAAATTTGGAACAGCTCAAGAAGGGTTTTGTTGAAGAATAGGCCAAAATCGACGAAAAACATTGCAGGATTTGGCTAATTTAATGTCTAAACGCTTGGCTGAAGTAGTTTCAAAGCACGGAGGCAATATCCACTATTAGGTAAGAAAATACATTTTTTTTCTACAATTATAAATTTTTTAAAAATTATTTTCTTTACAGTGTCCCAATAACTATTTCTAAGGGAGCTAATATAACAATATCAATTTTCGTGGAAAGGATCAGTAAAATAAAAAAGTTCTATCAGTTTTTAATGCATTTCTTTTCTATATTTACAAATAAAATAAAAACAAAACAAATTAAAAATCATTTACGAATTTATTAAAAAAAATAAATTGTCCCAATATTTATTTCGACCAGGTATTTCACATTGTCTTTTTTTTAAGTCTAAGCTTTAGAAATATTTATGAAATCCACTAAGGTCTGCGAAATAATTCACCTTATCTAACAAATATCGTTGTATAAAAGCTTTAGAGATGATTTTTTTAAATTTTTTTTGTTTTGCATTATTTTGTTTCACAAATTCTTTTCCAAGAACTGAAAGGCAAAACATAAAATTTGATTAGTTACCGTTAGTTTTTTTTTGAAAGCTCTGTGGCAACTTGGTGTACACAACGAAATAATTGAGCTGATCATATCAGTTTTCGTCGTTGTGTCTAACCAGTCAAGTCTGTAGCTAACTAAAAGTTACTTTTTTATTGAAAAATAAATAAAACAAGTAAGATCTGATGAAAAATTTGTTTTTGTAATCTAAGTTTTCGTTTATTTTAATAACAATGCATAAACCAAGATACCTTTCGGATGAAGAGCAAGTCAGAATATTGGCTTATCGTAAAACTGGTATGTCTTTGCGTAAAATCGCATATAAAATGGAAAGGAGCTTTTTCACGATTCAAAATTTCCTAAAAGATCCTGTTAATCATCGCACTAAACAAGATCGCACTAAACGGCGAATAAAACGTTTGGCGGTTAAAGAAAACTTGAGCGCAGCTCAAATTTGTCAAGAACTAACCCTTCCAGTTTGAAAGCGTCGAGTCCAACAGATTTTACGAGCAGATCCTTTCATTTTATATAAAAAAAAAAGTGTCATATCCCAACTTCTCCCACGACACAAGATCTCATGTAGACGCCCAAAAAACACAGCATTCGCTCCCAAATACACCAAAAAGACAATCAAACAAGGAGCTGGCAATATAATGCTATGAGGATGTTTCTCTTCTTCAGGTGTTGGTCAACTTTATTGGGTACAAGGCAATATGTATGTGTGAACGCAGTGAAGGAGACATCTCCGACCTTATATATATTCTTGATCAGGATCACTTCCTGAGTTGATATAAAAATGTCCGTCTGTCGGTTTCCACGCAAACTAGTCTCTCAGTTTTAAAGCTATTGACTTAAAACTTTGCACACACCCTTCTTTCCTTTGCACGCAGTATATAAATCGGAACTACCTGGATCGGGACGAGTCGACCAAGGGACGCTGGACCCACCAACTGGTCCCCGACCTTGAGAAATGGCTCCAAAGAAGTATCGGGGAAGTAAATTTCTGGCTGACGCAGTTAATCAGCGGCCACGGTTGCTTCAGGAGTTATCAATAAAAATTTGGACACGATGACGACCCCAGGTGCCCTGAATGCGGGGTAGACGAGACGGCGGAGCATGTGGTCCTGGACTACCCACGCTTTTCAATCCCCAGGCGGAGACTCCTAGGGGAAGTAGCGACGGCGGACCTCATCGGAAGGAGGTTGCTGGAGGACGCCCAGTTCTGGGCAGGCATGAGCAGCTTCGCCGTCTTAACGCTGAAGGAGCTGAGACGGCTAGAGACTCCGAGCGGAGGCTAGGCTAGCCTAGGAAAACAACAGTAGTGGGGTGCATAAGCACGCCAATCCTGGCCCTGCGAAGCAAAGCCTAGCGGCATTACCACAGGGGACAGGGACTTAGTAGACACTTTTTTGTTAGAGCTAAGTTTTAAGTCTTTCTTTGTTAATAATCGAATAAAAAAATAAAAAACACAAATGTACCGCTGCGAAAAAAGCTAAACTAGCACAGAAAATGTTTAAATCAGTGGTCGGCAAGGCCCTACTCCAGGGCCATATGAAATTTCTCTGATCAATCTTGTGCCATGAATAATTGTAATTGGACTTTTAAGTTGTTGTGGGGCTTCGTAGTAAAGTGAATCGTCTCAACAGTTAAAAAAAACAACTAATTCAACAACTCAGAATTCTTTGCAGTATGGAAGCCAATGGAAGACTCAAGCCAATTCTCTAAGGAGAATTATGGATTTATTTAAAAATATATATATATATGGCAATATATCAGAAAACAAGCGGCATAGCGGCAAAATGTACGAATTGCCGATCAAATGCACCGGTATTTTAAAGCAGACATTCCGATTGCCTGTTTCCAAACATGTGTATCGGTTGGAAATTTAAACAATTTAAATTTAAACAAGAAAGGAAAGCTAACTTCGGGCGGAGCCGAAGTTTATATACCCTTGCAGATAAAACCGGATATATATCGCAAACATCGGATATAGTTGGCCAATCCTTATGAAATTTGGTAGGTCGGATTAACTGACCAAGAATATAATCCGTACCAAGTTTCTATCTTCAAAAACACGAAAGTTGGGTCATTTCCGATCGTTCAGTTATATGGCAGCTATAGGATATAGTCGGCCGATCCTTATGAAATTTGGCATGTCGTATTATTTTGCCAAAAATAGCTCTCACGTCAAATTTGAACTCTCTAACTTTAAAAACACCAAAGTTATACCATTTCCGATCAATCAGTTATATGGCAGCTATAGGATATAGTCGGCCGATCCCGGCCGTTCCGACTTATATACTGCGTGCAAAGGAAAGAAGGGTGTGTGCAAAGTTTCAAGACGATAGCTTTAAAACTGAGAGACTAGTTTGCGTAGAAACAGACAGACGGACATGCTCATATCAACTCAGGAGGTGATCCTGATCAAGAATATATATACTTTATAGGGTCGGAGATGTCTCCTTCACTGCGTTGCACACTTTTGGACAAAATTATAATACCCTCTGCAAGGGTATAAAAATATTGTCATAAAACTGCGAAAGTGTCGTCTGGACCATAGCGCAATGTATAGAGTGATGACTATTGGTTTAAATAATCACCGTACTCCGAATAAATTTTGGGAATTGTAAAACTTTATAAGTAAAAATTTAACAATTTTCACTACTTTATACAAATTTGTAAAGTATTTTTCTGAAGTGTATTAAATGGTCGCAAAATTAACGAAAAAATTTTACTACTTATGTAGTAAATGGGATCTAAGCCAGAGGAACACCAAATCAAAAAAAAGTTGTATCGTTATACAATATAAATACCCAAAACTAAGACCCAAAACTTCATTAACTAATCTTAAGTAGTACGTCCTTTATTGCCAAAAAAAAACTGCGCAACGAGGTAACAAATTAATGGCAATGATATAGATATTTTGATCTTTGGAATAAATATTTTCTGTGGGTTGGAAATCAGACGAATGCCCATGTGATTCCAACACGTTCATAGTTTCCTCTAAACTATTACTCTGGTAGCTTTTCTATCATTGTCCTGCTAAAGAACATCTATATGACATTTTACACTCTTAAAAAGGTATCGTAGATTTCTTCAAAATATTCATGCATTATTGGTAATCTATGATGGATTTTATGCCATGTATACTTCCTGATGGGAAAAGTGTATAAGCTCTAACCAGACGAACTTTTCGAACCGTTTAAGGCAGTGCACTATGGGCAAAAAGTCCGGAAATCTGACCCTACAAGATATATGTATATATTCTTGATCAGGATCACTTCCTGAGTTGATATAAGCATGTCCGTGTGTCTCTCTTAGTTTTAAAGCTATCGACTTGAAATTTTGCACACACCGTTTTTTCCTTTTTTCTAGTACAGCTGTTTTCAAAATAATAGGAGTGCTTTTGCATATGCACTTGTCCCTTCTGTAGTAATGTTATGCGTTCATTTTTTTCAATTTTATTTCTTTTTCCAAATTTGTTTATGGATACACATTCTGAGGTACCGTTATTTTTTCATTTTACTATCTTCGTTTTCTGAGAATTACCCAAATTCGTAAACAAACTTCATTTTGCGCTCATCAAAATAATAGGAGTGTGCCATTTTAATCTGTTCAGAGCGCAAAAAAAGGTAATTATTCTTAAAAAAACGGCTTAAAAGTATAGAATGATTAATATCCAACTACAATTTTAACGTTTAAGATCGAAAATTTAAAGCAATGGGTCGTGGCAAACATTGCACACCTGAGCGACGTGATTTGATCAAAAACTTGATTTCAAGTGGGAAAACGTACAAGGAAGTACAAAAAATAATTGGATGCGGTGCTTCCATGATCCGAAATGCACTAAAATTTTCACCCAAGCCGGAAACCCGCGGCCGACCCCAAGTTCTAGCCGATAAACTGGCTACACGTGTTGCAAGGTACTCGAAGAAGCATCCTTTTGCAAGCTGCAAAGAAATCAAGGATGAGCTTAACTTGGACGCAAGTATCCCAACAATAAGTCGTCTTTTAAAGAAGCAAAATTTGACTGCCCACAGTCCACGGAAAATTCCATTCCACACCAAGAAGCACATAGCCGCAAGAATGAAATTTGCAAAGAGCCATGTCAACTGGTCAGTTGAAAAGTGGCGTAACATCTTGTGGTCGGATGAGTCGAAAATAGTCCTTTATGGTGGCAAAGGATCTCGACAGTACGTTAGAAGACCACCTAACACCGAATTTAATGCCAAATATTGCATTAAAACGATCAAACATGGCGGACATAATATAATGATTTGGGCATGTTTCTCGTACTATGGCGTAGGTCCAATATATTGGATTAAAAATATTATGGATGGTCCTGGATATGTCCAAATAATGCAGGAAACAATGCTGCCTTATGCTAGCGAAGAAATGCCACTGGTTTGGGTCTTCCAGCAAGACAATGACCCAAAGCACACAAGTAAAGTGGCTAAGAAGTGGTTTGCAGACAATAAGATTGCAGTACTTGAATGGCCCGCCCAGTCCCCCGATCTGAATCCGATCGAAAATTTATGGACAGACGTTAAAAAGGCGGTCGCAGAAAGGCATCCAACTAATGTTTCCGAGCTTTGGGAAATTGTAAAGGCCTCTTGGACCTCGATTCGTCCCGAAAGATGCCAGAAATTGGTGGATTCCATGCCAAGGCGCTGTGCGGCAGTGATAGCCAATAAAGGTGGTGCCACGAAGTACTAATTATAGTTTTTTTAATTACATTTAACATTAAATTACTTAATATAACCATATTTTATCGTTATATATTATTTTCAAAAGTTCTGAGAGAATTTGCTTGAACGCTCCTATTATTTTGAGAAACCCATATTGGGTGTTGTTCCCTTTTTTATTTTTTTTTTAAGTATGTATTTAATGAAGTAACTTTTTTTAGTTTTAATTACTTTAATACAAGTCATATTTGTTAAAAAAAAATGAATTTAAGAAATTTAATTCGTATTGACATAGTTTTTTTCACCGATTTTCACATTCGTGATGGTCACTCCTATTATTTTGAAAACAACTGTATATATGGTACATAAGTCGGAACGACCGAGTAACAAAAAAAATTTAAGGGGTATAATAACTTCAGCTGCATACATTTTGCATTGTCGACCAATTTTGATTAAAAGTTTGATTTAAGGGGACCCCCCCCATTCTCGGTTTTAAAAAATCGATTTTTTTTTTTTAATTTAATTCGAACTTATAACTATTCAAGAATGTTCCCTGAAAATTTCAAGTAAAAATTTCAAAAACTCTTGAAGATATAGCCGATTTATGGTGGAAGCCTCAGGCGACGGCGAGAGCCGTCTCAAAACTTTAAACGCGTTTTTCTCGAAACAGTGTTTTTACGACTGGCGCATGAGGTTACTCAAAAACTATTAATCCAATCGATTCCAAATTTTAACACGTTATTCTATACATATATAGCTCTCGTATGAACTAGGATAAATCAAATCGGTGAAGATCTTCTTTACTTTTCAACTCGATTTGTGGCTGAAAAAAATGGAAATTAAAAAAAAAAAATTTCAAAGGTCCGCCATTTTGTTAATTTTTGAGCGAAGTTAATAATCCTAGTTCATACGAGAGCCAAACATGTACTTTTTCTAATCCCGTTGGAATTTTTGGATTCAGGTGTTCCAGTGAGCGGAAATCACATGCGCCGCCGAAAAGAAGGGCTTTTCTTTGATCACAAAAAACAACAACAAAAACAAAACAAAAAAAAATTCTGTGAAATGATTTTCTTCCTTTTTGTGTTTCAATATATGTAAGCACAGTTACAACCCTAAACAAAAATTTATGTTCATTTGCCAGCCCATTGAAAATTGTCAAAATTTAAAATCGAGAATGGGGGGGGTCCCCTTAAATAGTTTTTTTTTTGTTGTATCTCATAGAAAGTATTCTCGCAGTACAAAAATGAATAAAAAAAATGGTAATAGGCAGTCAACGAGTAGCCTCTGGAAAAAAACAATTATCTATTTACATATGTATTTTTTTGCTTATTTATGTATGCATTCTTTTTTGTGTGTAATATTATTTGTTCTTCACGTTACAAACATCTGGTCCAAATTATAGTACTTTGCAAGGGTATAAAAATAAAATTGTCTGTGCAGTTTTGTATGTGTATATATGTATATACATATATATGTATGTATGAAAGTGTTGGCATAGTTTATGAACACAAAGCTTCAGCCGGGTTATATTCACATATACATACATACATATGTAATTATATTTGCACACTTACAGAATTTTTTAAAATATAAGAATCAAGGTAACGTACCAGAAACCGCGGGGTATAAATCAGCTTCGTTCCAAAAAATTTGTGATGAACTGCGGACATAATCGACAAGGAATAGATTTAGCCTAAAGTTTATATAATATACAAATCTTGAAGTAAAACAACATTAACGGATCTTATTGTACTTTATATGTAGTTAAAATATTTCTGTATAGAAAACTTATACATACATGTTTATTGCTTAGAAAAATTTAGATGTTGAATGTTTGAAAAACACACAATCCAATCACTTATAGAGATAGATATAGGCGTAAAATGTGACAAACAGAATTTTGAAGCACAGACATGAAAACTTAAAACACGTGAAGTGAAAATGGCCTTAAAAATGGTCTTAAAATAAAATGGTTCCAATTAACTGAACTAGAGGAATGCCAGAAATAAAGCGGTTATAACGTAAGCTTATTTAGTGATGAATACTTTAATCTAACATGTCTATATGTGTTTTCCATGTCAGTTAAATTCATTTGTTCAGTTATCCACTCAAACTAAATACTTGGGAAACAATACTCACGTTTTTGAGTGAATTTTAAGAGGTTAAAATGGCAATTTTAATTTTATGAAGGTTAGCCGCTGTCCATCATGGAATTAGTACTTACAATAAAATTTTCCAAATTTTATGTTTCGACAGAAATTTATTTTTCTAAGAATTAGAAACACTGGAATTAAAACAGAAGAAAACGTTATTGAAGGTTTTTAGGTGGTAATTGAGGAAGCGGCAAAATATTGTGACTACAACATCAATCGAGTATTTACTAATTCCAAATAATATAATGAGTTTTTTTTTTAAATAATACTAGTTTATTTGGCGTCCATAAATTAAAAGAGCGAAAAGTCTTGGAAAGTCGCTCTATATTTGTCCAAAAACTATTTGCGTTAAGTAGAGGATGTCAAAGTCATAGGTATATTAAAATGAGAATACACACTGATCATCAGTGACATTTTTTTTTATTGAATACTAATCACTACTGCTTCTCTTTTTGTACCCTGATAAGCGTTTTGACGCCTTTCGAATTTTGTTTCCATAGGTATTGATATTATTATTCCAGTATTGACGTCGATAATAATATAATAATAGCAGGATTAGAAACAACTTAGCAGTGGCTTGTTTCTCTCAATGGTCAGGCAAGTAAGGGCGTATACACATTGATCTATTAGTAACTTGGTATTAGAGAAAAAGTTTTTTTTTTTATGGTAGTAATAAATTAAATGTTATTAATTAACATTTTAAATTTTTTTTTAGAAGCTTTCTCTCATTTGACTCTCATTTTGACTCATTTAAAAGCCGAAACTTAAAAATCAAAACATTTTCACTAAGAAAAATTTTCTCAGAAATTTTGTTGGAAAAATTCGGGTTTAAAATTTGAGTGTATGCGCAGCAGAGAAAAAAATGAGAGCAGAGCATTCACTGCTAAAAAACGTAGTATTTTATTTCAATTTTTGCTTAGTCAAAAGTTGGAATGTGCGCTAAAAGAGTGTATTTTATTTTAAAGAAAGCTTTGCTATCAAAAGTTCTTAAAAAAATGAAAAACTTCGCTACGCTTTCTCTATGAAGAAAACTTTTTCCAACCCAATTTATGAGACAATTTTTCTCAGTGGATATATATTTTTTTTTAAGTTTTGGCTGTCAAATGTGGCAAAATGGGAGCAAATGAGAGAACTTCTAAAAAAATTTGAGAGTGCTCACACTGCCGGGGTGCCGGCAGCGCTGCGGAAGAACTTGCTACCATATGCACGCGTGCTATGGAAAATGAGATTTTGCCCCCACTGGAATAGAATGAATTACATAAAATATATCAATATTTACATTTTTCCAATTCCATTTCGAAAAAATCAAATTTTTGGAAAAGGCAAAATGGACCAAAAGAAATTGAAAAATGAAAATTTTTTTTGTTATAACAGGGGTAATATTTATTTAAAACTGTCCTTACTGGACAACCATTAAATTGTTTCACAATAAACTTGGCGTACAGAAAAATTAATTTTAGAGATAGGTATATGAGTAATTAGGGATTAATCCATGGTAGGTCCTGTGGGTGGGTTCTGCCTTCTCGTCTGCTCGCAGTTAGCTAGAAGAGAAATGGCCAACTGGTTCGGGTTTTTTTGTAGCCTGGGTCCAAGTAAGCCTCCTATCAAGCGTGAAACCTACTTATTTCAGGTTGTCTACCTGCGGGATGTCTACCTGTTGAGACGGAGCTGTGGGAAGTTTCCTGGTCGGAAAGAAAACTGGGTCGCAGTGGATTTGTCGTTGTTAACCTCAATGTTTTATCTTCTCTGTCAATCGCTGAGAAGATCGAGCTGCTCTTGCATGACAGCAGCTGACTCAATAGTGCTGTCAGAAAGGGTCAGGAAAGCATTGTCATCCGCGTAAGTAGCTGCCATTACCATCGGGCTCTGCAGGACTGGGAGTTCGGCCGTGTAGGCGTTATAGAGCAGGGACTCCAGAGCGGACCTCTCTAAGTCCGGAGGTGGCCTCCCCGCATCTGACTGCAAAATTGCGCTCCTTCAGGAATGACTCCAGAAATAGGAATTACGGTTCTGGCATCTGGCTGCAAAATTACGCTCCTTCAGGAATGACTCCAGAAATAGGAATTACGGTTCTGGCAAGCTGGTCTTCTGAAAGACTCGGTTGAAGGCTTGCTTCACATCCAACATGACAGCCTTCTTCATGACATCTTCCAACAGCCTTCTTCATCTTCCTTCATGACAGTACTTCCTGGTTTCAAAAGAGCCCAAAATATACTTCACCACTTTGTGGCATTGTTCAGGATCCGTTCCATGGAACTGCCTGAAGCCAAAATGGTGATCGGGGATTAGTCCAGCCTCGTCCAGTACAGGCAGTACTCTGTTTTAAAATAGTCGTTCTAGTATTTTAGATAGTATCGGCAGTAGACTAATCGGTCGGTAAGAGACAAGATTGGCTTTAGGTTTTCCGGGCCTGGGTATCATGGTTACGTGACCACGTTTCCAGGTGGTCGGAAAGTACCCAATCTCCCAGTATCTGTTGAAAATTTTTGATATGAGCTTGATACTTGTAGGTGGTAGCAGTTTTAATGCAATAGCATTGATACCATCATCGCCCGGGGCCTGCTGCTTTTCAGGGTGGAAATCTGAGCGGCTGGTGCTATTGGGGCGGCATCTCTGGGGGTTACTCTTAGAATCGGGCTGTTTCAGCTGCCTCTTGTGACGATTAGCGATTAACCGGGGTGAACACGTTTGCAAGATTTTCGGCGAACGTCGTTTCTCCGTACTGGTGGTATCCTCTTCAACGGCCGTCTCATTCATTTGGTGACACGCCCCAGGTTGCTCAACAAACTCGTCGAAGGTCTTATCTCTTGGGTTCCTGGAGAGTATTCGTACTCGCCTGAGTCGCCACTTTTCAAGCTTAAGTGCCGTGATGTCTCTGTTAGTGGCTCTCGGACGGTTGCAAAGCCTTGGTGCTGCTTCTGCTGCCGCAAACTGGATTTGGGCGGTTAGCTTCTCGAGGGCCGCTTCGATTTCGTCGCATTTGTTGATTGCATAGTGATGTAAACATGGCCTCCATTCAGGCTATTACCACAATTGGCTTGTGGGACAGCGTTTCTTACTGCACTAGCGTGCCATGTTTATGTGAAGAAAAAGAAATTGCATTATAATTGATGCCACACAAAAAAAATTTAAATGTAAAAGTTGAAACTGAAAAAAAAATTCAACTTGTAAAGAAGAAAAGTATAAGGTGAACATGAAGTAACTAAATTAGTTTTTTAAGAGTTGACAGAATTCCAAAATATTATAGCTTTTAAGAAAAAAAACCTTTTTTTTAAGTTTCTGTTTCCCAAAATAACAATATCGCTAAGTTGGCGTAGCCGCTTTTGCCGAGGGCTACTACTAATGAAAATTAACAGACTGTGAGTAAACACAATTGTTAAAGCAGCCCCAAATAAAGGTCTTACTCCAATGAGTTCCTTTTGGAAATTGATTTTTTTTATACAATTTTCTTATAAAAAAGATACATTAAAGTCTTAAATCTATTTAAAACTACTGATGAACGCACTGCACGCTGACCTGCTAAGCGACCCTTTCTCAAGTGCGATAGGCGCTCTACTTATGTATTTATGTTGGGCTGCAGGAGATCGGTTTTAGACCATGATGTTTGTCTCGTATTTCATGGGTCCGATCCCTTGAAACTCTATCTTACGAATTTGTATATACAATAGTGTTTAATGCTTGAACAACAAACCTTAATGTTAAATTAGTATTTCTTTTTATTGCGATTTTTTTGGCCATCTATGGCCATCTATACGTCCAAATGTATATTTATGGTTTTATTTATATCTGGTTGTACCTTGTAGCAATCGTAACAATTATAATTATTTATAAATAATGATTAAAGATTTCCTTGTTTTCAATAATAAGGATCACAAACCAGGTGGTGGGCTATGCAACCAGTCATAGCCACGGCTGCCACCGGTTGCGATCAATATAAAAAAGTTTCGCCGACAGTAAATGTACAGCGCATGGGACCACAGAAGTATACATGGCATCTGGAATTTTTCATCAGTTCACAGTAGACTCTTTATAAAAGCAGGGAAACTAAATTCGTTTTAGAAAATTTAGAAAAAATACCTTATCTGGACTTCATCAAACGCATAGGAAATGCAACCGTATTTTTTCTAGGGACGAGGCGCTTAACCACGGATAATCAGCTGGGGAGTCTTGAAAAGTCAGTTTATACAGTCCAACCTCCCTTACGGTACAGGGTAATACTTCCCTAACCGCCCGTGACCGGCGGTATTGATAGGTTGGTGGTCTCGTTTTAAAGATAAAAAAAAAGCTTTAACTTCCCATATTACTTAATTTTGTAGTACGTCAGAATTTTGGGAACCAAAAATGACCAAAAACGCATTTTTTTCACTTTTCAAACACGATTTTTTCGAAAACTTGCGTGATGGGAAAATCCGGACTCCGGATTCGTGACTCCGGATTTTTTTTTAACACAAAAAAACCTTTCGCAAACACTTTATCCCATCTTATTCGCAAGACCCATGCCGGGCATGGTTATTTATACCAATTATTTATTAATTTAAATATATTGCTTATATATATTTATTGTATTTCTTTAGTTTTATTGATTTTATATAGTTAAATTTTGGTCGTTGATATTTTTTGTTTTGTGTCAAGAGTGATCCGCATTAGAATTTAAACGTTTTTCAAAATTCAATAGGTAGTTCGATTGAGTGTTTAATAGATTCGCCAAAAATGGAAGAAGAGGGTCCAAGTATCTCGAAATGTGTCGTTTGCGACTAGGCTCTGGCCTAGGTTGAAGTTTAGTTTTGTGACATCGGGCTCGATAAAGCTGACCAGCTAAAAAATGAGCTGGCGTTAGAAAATCGAGGTCAACAGGATTCTCTGAATGAGACAATAAAGGTCGTAAATTTATGACAGCCCCAATATAGCACAGCAGTTATCGCAGCTCCTCGAATCCATGAACTGAAGATCCAAAACCACCGAACACAGACCACCGAGATGCGGAAAAGAATTCCATTCGATTGTCACCATTGAGCAAAACTCCAGCAGCGCCCGTTGATGCTCATCGCTTATAAATAGCAGCTCCGTTACCTCGTTTCTGGCTCCAACAAAGT